TATATATATATATATATATATTAGTAAAAAATGTTACACATATATATTGTAATTTATCATTATAGATACAGCTTTCTTAAAAGTAGGATTATTTGACAAATATTTAAAAAATTAAATTTATTTAGATGTTAGAACCTAGAATAGTTTTTTATACACACATATTGCATGTTTTGTAGTTATCTGCTTACATATAGTTTTACATAAATATTATCTTATTCTTGCATCGATATAAAATTTTCTTTGTATACTCATGCTAGCATTGACTATAAAATTATCTTATTATTAAGTATATTTCTCTATATTTTCTCATTCATGTTTCACTCTACACAATGCGATATAAGACTTTCTGGTAGAAACATCATGCCATCCTACCGGACCTCTTTCACAATCAGCACAAGCTAAGTACTTGACCTTATCTACTGTATGTGACACACCAATATTTTCAAAGGTAAACATGTTTTCTATTAACCAGTAATCTGAAATGGATTCTGTTTGATTACCTTCACCTTCTCCCTTACAATGTACATAAGGCAAGGCAAACTGCAATCAAAAATTTGTTATATGTTAGATAATCTTTAATTAAATGTAATTATTACCATTACTTCAAAATATTTGAAGAAAAATTTAAAGCAGGTCTTTGTATATTATAAGAAATATTTATGTAGTGCCACAAACAAGACAATATATCATTGGTTATGAGTAATACTGTGAAATAATAATATATAAAAAATATTTATTAACTAACAATATTGCATAAAGTGTATATAAGATAACATATAACATTAATTAGTATAATAAATTACTAATTATTAACTGAAAAAGTATAATAATTGTAAACTTCTTTGACATTAAAGTGTTATTATATTCGAAGTATACGATACTTACTTCCATGTTTATTAATCTGGCAACCCCAGCATTAAGTATTTTTGAGGGGCAGAATGTGCAAAAAATTTTATTTTTATTTTTCCCGTCCGCATCTTTCCTCGTCTCAATAACATCATTGCCCATTGACATGATGTTTAACTTACTTGCAAAATAAGTTACAAGATGAATTGGTTAGCTTAACTATAGAGTTTAAAGATAAGTAATATGTGACCGAAGAATCGATGTCCATAAACCGGCATAAAGCCTTTGTCTGTTCTTTATAACTGCATCAGTTCAGTAGTTCAGCTATAAAGAACAGACTACTTGTGACCACGATCCTAGGGATCGCGTTCGGAAACACACATAGTACATCGCTAGACACTGCGGCCGGTATTCACATGACTTTTGCCAACAAAACGCGGCGGAGGTGATAGCCAATCAACGTACCGTTTTTCCACGAGAACTAAAAGTTTATTGGCTGCCGCGGCAAGCAATTTTGCGTACTGTGGGCAAAAGCCATTATATTTTAAACCGTATTAAGTTCATATTCAGATGTTTCATAGCCAATAAAATAAATCGTGAAGATGAACTTAATACGGTCTTAAATATAAGATCCGATTATGAATGCTGACCTTATAACATTTCGATTTGCTGTCCGATTTGCTGTCGATTTTCAATCCGACTCAGGCAGCGTTCCGTTAATTGCTGCAATATTGCAAACTATAGTACACTCATTTCCGCCGATTCGTCCCAAAATAGATTTGGTAACTAGTAGATTTCTAGTAGAAAATAAATAAATACCCTTCTAGAAGAGATAAAAATTTTCTGTTAGCAACTATGCTAGTATTGTGCACAAAAGATACGTTCGGAGAGATGCCATTTAATTCTATTGTGTCATTCTATCTTTATTATTTTTTACATGTACAACAAGGGTAGAATGACGCGGTAGCGCTAAAAAGCGTCTCCCCGAACGCACCCAACATGTCTTTTTCGAACGCAACCTTATATGACACCTTGTTGACGTTAATATATAGATAAGCGTTTCTTTTCAAAGGTCAATAGTGATTAATATTATACTGCCAAGTCATTCTAGTAAATTGTTTGATTTACCTGAATTATATGATCAACCTACGTACACTTAGTTGTAATTATATGTATTGCAAAGTATAATATTATTTTTGAGCAGAATCAGTCGCAAATCACTATTATAGGTATAACTTTCTCTGTATTTATAAAAATGTTATTTAAAATTTGATTTGACGATTAGTGGATTGTATGTGTATACGTGTAATAATATTTTTATGTTAACTTAGTTTTGGTATTATAATTTCCAGGAAAAATGCATCTTCCTTGTGTAGGAGTTCCAGCAAAATTAGTAAATAATTTATTTCAAGATAAGGAACCTTGGCAAATAGTAACTATGACCACTACTGCTACTCTCGCTACAATATGGTTATGGAACTTCATTTTTCAGGATGAAAGTAAATATGATATTTTGATGTAATATATAATTAGACGAAATATTGCTAATATTTTTCAAAGCATCAATAATACTGTATATGTAATAAAATAATTATATTTTGTTATTAATTTTCCAAAATTTATATATGTTTTCATAATTTATGTTATAGGTCTTGTAGTACGTGCAAAAAAACAGATATTTAAATTAGCTCGTCATATCCCTGCTATTCAGGAAAAAATAAATAAGGAATTAACAAATGTTAATGAAGTTTTTCAGAAAGATACCTTACGTAGAGTGAAAGAACTTTCATTTACTGTAACGTTACCTACAAAAGGGTTAAGTGATGAGAAAATTTTAAATACAATAATACAACATGTTCACTTAGGTTAGATTAATTAATCATACTAATTTAACTAATATTGTGATAGTTTGACTATACTTTTCCTAATTATTTTAGGTAACTATGATTGGAAATCAGGTAAAGTATCAGGAACAGTTTATAGAAATGATGATAAACTTATAAGTCTTATTGGTAATATATACGCAATTGCATCATATACAAATCCGTTACATCCTGATGTCTTTCCTGGTATCTGTAAAATTGAAGCAGAAGTAGTTAAGATAGCTTGTAGTTTGTTTCATGGGGACAATGAAACTTGTGGAACTGTAAGCATTACTTTTATTATCTATAAGCTTTTAGCTGTGAAAATTATACAGACATAATATGGTCTTAACAAATATTTCAGATGACTACAGGTGGTACAGAATCAATTTTATTAGCATGTAAAGCTTACAGAGACTATGCTCGTGAAATCAAAGGCATAAAACATCCAGAAATAGTTATGCCAATTACTGCCCATTCAGCATTTGACAAAGCTGCACAGTATTTTAATTTGAAAGTATGTTCTGTACCTGTCAATCAAGATAGTTATACAGTCTGCATTAAAGCTATGAAAAAAGCAATTACAAAAAATACAATAATGGTAAGATATAGTATAGTATAATTATACAAGAATCGCATAAAATTGAATTGCAATCCTATAGTTATAATGTTTGTAATAGTTAGTAGGGTCTGCACCAAATTTTCCTTATGGCACAATGGATAACATTGAAGAAATATCTAAATTAGGTATGAAATATAACATACCTGTTCATGTAGATGCCTGTTTGGGTGGCTTCCTAGCCTGTTTTATGACTAGTGCTGGTTATACTTTCCCACCTTTTGACTTTCAACTTCCTGGTGTAACTAGTATATCTGCTGATACTCATAAGGTATTTATTCGCATTATATTAATACAATATATAATTTTTTATATACTAGTTGCAGTATATTAAATGCAACCCTTTTTCAGTATGGTTATGCTCCGAAGGGATCTTCACTAATTCTTTACAGAAATAAAAAATATCGACATTATCAGTATACGATTAGCACAGACTGGCCTGGTGGCATTTATGGTTCTCCCACAATAAATGGTTCTCGAGCTGGTGGTATTATAGCCGCTTGCTGGGCCACGTTAATGTATTTCGGACATAATGCTTACATAGAGTCTACTAAGAAAATAATCGAAACTACCAAATATATCGAGAAAAGGTTATTCTAATTATAGAATTATTATTATAAAATATTTTTATATCGTGACTATCGTTTTACTAAGGCTCTTGAATATTCGAGTAAATCACTTTCCGGGTATCTGAAATTGGACCCGATCCGAAACTTCAAATCCGCATAATTTAGTATCAGATCCGAACAAATACTGAAGCCTTACTTTAACTTTTTCAAAATTTGAATGTAGATTGAGAGGACTGGATGGAATTTTTATTTTTGGTACTCCAGCAACATCTGTCATTGCATTAGGATCAAATCAATTTGACATTTATCGATTGTCAGAGGCCCTTAATACGAAAGGTTGGAATTTAAACACACTGCAATTTCCTTGTGGTATACACATATGTATTACACACTTACATACTGAGCCAGGTGTGGCTGATCGTTTCTTACAAGATGTTGAGTGTTCGTTGAAAGACATTTGGAACGATCCACACAGTGAGGTGGAAGGAAAGGTAAAATTAAAATTCTAAACTTGTGCACGGAATTATTTGCAGTTTTTATGTGATTTTCGGGAATTATGCCCACTTTATTCCCCTTGCTTTTTCTGCTTATTATCGATCGAACTAAGGGATTGACAGTTGCAACGCGTAACTTCAGGACCAACACATTTATGAAACCTATGAAGCCTTCCTTAATTGCTAAAAAAATTCTTATCGCAACTATAGTTCTATTGTTCTAATTACATCGTTGTAATTATGTTAATAACGTGTAAAAATAACACGCATGAAGACTAATTTGAAAAAGAATTTTCAAAAATTAGAAAATGCCTCACAGACCTTATGAAGTTGACGGTCATGAGGCTGAATGCATCGATTGTCAGTCATGGCTCAAAAGATGAGAAAGACAAGGAAGAAAATATGTATAACTCTTGAAAATCGTTTGGAAAGTGCAAGTAATGCCAAGCATTGTTCTAAATAAATGTTTTCTTTTTCAAAATTATATTATATCCTTATATTGTATTTATCATTTTTGTCAAGTGACAATCATATAATATTTTTCAGCTTGCAATGTATGGAATGAGTCAAAGCATTCCGGACAGAAGTGTGGTCGGTGACTTTACAAGATATTTCTTGGATGCTATGTATTATACCGGTGATAATTAAATGTAAGATTAAATATAACCTTGTAACTTGCATAAAAATTAATTATTTTCTTATATTATTGATAAAATATTTTACATAATAGGATGGAATATTCTGGAGTATGATCAGTTTTAAAGCAGTTGTTCTATATTGATCAAAATATTATTTTATTTCTACTTAATTAGGGAAAAAATGTTTATATATAATTATATCGAATTTTATTTTTTATATTGTTATGCTCGGGGAAATAAAACGAGACAACTTCAACTATATATTTGCTATTTACAAGAAAGCACGCAGACTCAAGCTCTCTCTCTCTCGCGAAAGACCGACGCGCACGTCACAGCGACTCGACCGCCCCGTTGTTTATCAGTCAACGCTGATCATCTGTTGTTTACGACTCGTTGTCAAGAGAATCAGCTGTACGTTCAGAGCGCTAAAATCAGCTGTACGTTCAAAACGCGGGCATCAAGACACGGATGTAACAATATTATATATACTCATATAAATTATACACAAATATAGTGCCCGGAAAATTCTGATCCAACAGTCGTATACAAATAGAACGGATTAAACTGACCAGAAAAATCCTTTATCATTTTACATAATAAATTTCTTATATCTTTACTTAGTAAACGGTGTTGGAAATGAGCCTTAAAACTGCTTGTAACTAATTCTGAGTGAATGAGTAGTTATATTTTTTTCTGTTAAAACTATCAATTTCATCGCCTTACAGTTACAAATCAAAATAATAAAAAGTAAAGGAATTATGATTTTTTTAAGTAAAACAATATCTTTTGCGAGACCATTATTCAAATTCTAATGTTTTTCGGTAAATTAAATCTTGATTTCCTATGAATGCATGATTAAACGCATAATCAAATTAAAGTAAAAGAATTATATTAAAGCCCGCATCAGACTGTGGATTAGGATTGGGATTGAGTTAAAATTTAGCCAATCAGAACAAGATTTACTAAATTTGAGTTTAGTGAACTTTGCTCTGATTGGTTAAATTTCAATCCTAATCCGTAGTCTAATTCTCAATCCTAATCCGTAATCTGATACGGATATTAGTTACAGATTCTTAGATAAAGAATTTAGAAAATTGCACAAAGTCAATATGTTCTTGATTGCGCGTAACTTTTCAAAAGTAAGCGATCGAAAGGTTAATAATGAAATTTTTATACTTAAAAAAAATTCAGTTTTATTGAATTATATAATTATTTAATTATATAATTATTTCAAGGTAATAAAAAAAATTAAATAAAAAAATTCTATAATATTTAACCCTTTGCACTCGAGAAGTGCCTCTCAGGTACCACTAGATATGATGCGACAACTCGAGTGGTGCCTCTCAAGCACCACTCGGATCGAGGCGGCAAACCTCACATTAGTTCCTTTTATTTTTTTCTAGTCTCTAATTTTCACCAATAAAAAATGTCGACGTATTTTTTTAATAGAATTACAATTCACAGATATAATAAATAATTTACAAACGTTACAGCTATCATAGTTGTAGTGCTTTGTCTTACAACTTATTTTACCCAGTATATTTTCTCAATGTTAAATGATAGAATTTTAATCATTTTGTCATATTCTCTTCTTATTTATAAGTTTAGACGAACCTGTATTTTTATTTCACATAAATCAGTTGTTAATGAAATTTAATCGTTTTCAGATTTTCTACGTTTTTTGGACCGCAAACTGTCAGTATCATGAGGACTCGGAGTTATGTGACTACGTTTTCGTTTGATGCTATTCTCGCCTGCATCGCTACTACTACTCGCAGCAGTTCTTGTTTCCCTTCGAAATGTTCCTTCTCCTGTTACTTGCACTAATATCTAAAATGAATAAATAAGTGCAGTTTCGGAATATTTGGTATTATTTTGTTATATATGCGTTGGAAAAAATTATATTACTGTTCACTTTCACAGCTAAAGTAACATGTAAGAAAAGAAAGCATTATATAAATTGTATAATTGATATATTAAATAATTAATATATTACATATCTATCCTTTTACCTGCATGTGTTGTAAACATTCCTCTTGCATCGATATTGCCATTTTATAAATAAACGTATCATGCTTGTTATACATAATAGCATTTTGGAACATGAGCATGACGTCCCGCTGAAAGTGCATGGTCGATCTGATTGTACCGTTATCGATGTTCTTCTTAATAGTTGATAGATCCATAGGTCGGAAAATCACTGTGTGATAACCAGGGGCATGGTCCTCCGTGATTGGCCGTAAAAATATCGATGCGTATTTGTGTGTAGCCAAACGATTGTAAACAAGCATGACCGCCTTTTTCCAGGCACGATAATCAGCTCCTTCGCCTGTCCCCTCATTTTCCGGTTCACTGTCTACAGCGATATTTTGCTGCTTCTTCGAGTATGTTTTCATCGCTCGGCCGCCGCTCAGTTTGCTTAACGACGATTCCTCCTCGTCTAATTCCCCGGTTTCTTCCCCGGCGCTCGTCACCCCATATTCTATCTCTTTCTTCACGTTCTGCTCGCTATTTATGTCCTTCTTAGTATCTTCTTTCTCCTTTTTTTCTTCTTTTATTTCCACATTTTCATTTTTGTCCTCTTCTGATAGCGTATCGGTAGAAGTTTTTACCTCTCTCTCAGTTTTCGGTTCCTCCAATTCGACCTCCGTGCTCTCTGTTTTCTTAACATTGGCGTTTTCTGCATCAGCCGCCACAGTTGGTTCGCTTTTGATGCTCTGGGCAACCTCAATCGTTACCGCGTTAATAGTAGCATCCTCAATCTCATTGGCTGGTTCGATCTCTTCCTCCTTTATCTCTATGTCCTGCAAAATAGAGCTTGTAGTGTCCTCTGAGGAGTCCTTCATCGTCTCCTCTTCCTCTTTCTTTTTAAATTCTTCCGTGTATATCTGTAATGTTTCTTCAGCGATCTCCTCTTCTTTCACAGATGATTCTTCTCTCACTTCTACGACAATTTCTTCTTTTTTTATCAGGACAACGGGTTCCTCCTTGAAAGATTCCAAGGATTCCGTTGTACTTTCTACCGTGTTTTCGATTATTTGTTCCAGTGTCGCTTTTTTTTTACTTTCGGAACTCCGACTGCTCTCTCCTTCCTCATCATCCTCCAGAATCAAGCTGATGTCTTGCGACTTTTCTGTGTCTTCAGTACTAGGCAAGTCGTTCGTTATCTCCGATGATACGCTGATGACCTCTGCGGATGGTACATCTTGCTGATCCCCTGTAATTTTTGCTAAATGCATTTCTAATTGATCTAATCCTTCACTATCTTTACCTTCAACGTCTTCTGGAGTATCCTTCCGTTCTTTGGCGGATTCGAAGGCGTCTTTGTCATCAGAGATCGTCATTTCTGTTTCTCCCTCTTCATTCTCGTTTTTCTCTTCTACTCCTTCCTCCTCTTCGCCCGCAACTTTTTCTATTTTCTTCGGGTGCGAAAGTTGATCTCGCTCGTTCTCTTCTGTTTCCGTCACGTTCAACGTGGTGTCTAAGGATTTGGTTTCTGCGCCTAACTGTTTCTCTTCTACCACATCTTCCTTTTCTCCATCATTGTTCTCTTGCTCCGCAACAAGTTCCTCAGATAAAATCATTCTTTCGTCGTATGTACTCGCCTCAGATTTCTCCTCTAATGTATTCGATATAGTCTCAGTCATCTCGGCAACAATAATTTTAGGTTCCTGTGGCTCCATAGTAACGGTGCCGATTATCTCGGCGATATTAGATGTGCTAGAATCGATTTCCTCGATCGCCATTTCGCTTTGCGGCGAATTGGACAACGATACGGATTCGTCCACGTTTCTCGGCTCTGGACGTGCCTCTATAGCTACTGTTATTGGAACTTCTGCCATTTGTTGCGATGTTTGTGCAGTTAAAGTATCGATCACTGTCGTTGTCGTCGTTGTCGACGTTGAGTTGCCGCTCGTATCTTGGTGGGTCTGCGGACTACGCGCGGTGATCTCTTCTTTAATCAGTTCCTCGATATCACCAATAATCTCGTTTATTTCATCTTTATCCATCACGTCTGACATTATGTCCTTACGTATGACATCATCTATATGGTCGATTATCACCATGTTCTCCGAAATTGGTATGTTATTGGTAGTGGCCGGTATAGTGGTGATCGCCAATGCCGTCGAAGTCACTACATTCTGAATGGCCATTTGATGAACATTTTGCGCTTGTTGCGCTTGTGGAAAGTTGTGCATTTCGGCGGCGGTGGTCACAGTTGCTTGTTGCGTTGTTTGAGGTGCAATGGGAATCGTTGCAGTTGGAGTACCTTGTAGACTTGGTAGCGGCCCTCTTTGCGAATTGGCCGGCATCTCTAGCAACATCGAAAGTGTGGGTGCCTCAACAGATGGTCGTTCCAATGTTGCGTTCGTTGCGCTGGCTATCGCCGTTGAAACCAACTGCTGCAACTGCGGCGACACATTTTGTGCCAGTTGAGTGTTGAGCATCTTGGAACTAGATCCGAGTAGGCTAGTGATGGTCGGTGAATTTGACTGAATGGATGCAGACGTAGTGGTCTGTGTTTGCGTGGTCGGACTCGGGGATTTCAACAAACTCGTCAATAGTGGCGACCTACCGCCTCGGTTTTTTTTTTCATCATCTTCTACCGAGGGTTCCGTCGAAGATTCCTGCATCTCTACTATTGCGCCTTCCATAAGTTTGCGTTGATTTCCAATAACCAAAGGAATAGATGGCAAGCTTATTTCCTGTTTTTGCTGTCGCTTTGCTATCCATACCGAATGGGTCCGTGCTTTCTGTTCCTTCTCGCATTCTTCCTGCTGTATATCTAGCCACATCTTTTGTAACATTTCGTCGATTATTGCACCGGATTTTATTAGTAGGTTCATGTCTGATTTATGTCGCAGATATTCATTTCTTTGACGAACAAGATTTTGATTCAATTCAGCTATCCTCTCCTGTGTCAGTTTTCTAACTATGGATTCGCTAGGGGTTTCACCACTTTCCCTTTTCTTCCTTCTCGGCATATCAGCATTCTCAAGTAGATATGTGTACTGACTGGCGCATGATCTCTGGGAAAACCAATCTGATGGCCTCGGTAACTCTTTTTCAATAAATGGCTTTAACGATCTAGACACACTCATCCAATTCTGATCTCCAGACTTCAGTACACTTGATGCAAGGCATAACTGTTCTCGTGTGCTCCATGTTTCAAAGGATGATACACGTCTAAGTTTCAGTCCTAAAATTTATATTTTGAATTAAATATTGCATTTCTTATTTTTATATTACATAAAAAGATAAATGTGTTGATTATATAGTATTTTGATTCTCATTTGATTAATGTGTGTGTGTGTGTGTGTGTGTGCGAGGTCTGTTCATTTTCGCTGCATCACTGAACTAGTGCAATAAGTTGAAGCGAGATAAGTATATATTTTTTTACTTCAACTTATTGCGCTAATTCAGCAGTGCAGCTAAAACGAACAGACCTGTATATATACATATCTATGTGTACACAAGAACTTTAATGATTATGACCAGACAAATCATGTACACATGACATAAATGTTAAAGTTAAAAAAATAGTTTTATATTCATCTGATTACTAACCTAAACTTATATCAAATATACACATGGTTGTATAAAATTATTAAAAAAAAAAATTGTGCAGATATTTATTTTTTCTCCATTGCCATAAATTTAAATAATCCTTATCACTATACTGGACTTTACTGTTCCTTAACAAACTTATTAAAAAGCGAATACATACTAACATAACCTACAAATATAGTACAGTAACAATATATAAATTACAAAATTACTTAAAACCAAAAATATATTAAACATTTGAACACGCAAAAATAGTTTTTTTAACCAATAATCTATAACATTACGCTAATATATATTTGACCATTATGTGCTGAATACGCAAAACAAGCTTACTGTCTTGTATCGACGACATTGTACTTTTCTTCAAAAATTTCCGCAAATACAAACACTTTCCTATTTATAAGATATGCTTAAATGAAAAATGCAAAATGGTTCTTTATTGCTTAACAAATCTTTAACTCCAAAATACATACAATATAAATAAGAGGTTAGTTCCATTTCACTGCAGTGGAATTTGTATTAGTATCATACATACATCTGGTCTGTTCTTTATAGCTGCACTGCTGAACTAGTTCAATAAATAGAAATGAGACAAGCGTATGTTTTCTCACTTCAACTTATTGCACCAATACAGCAGTGCATCTATAAAGAACAAATCAAAGGTATTTCCGATTTGCCGACTCGATCCAACTCGAGCAGCGTTCCAATAATCTTTGGAATACTATTAACGTTTTCTGATTTGCTGACTCGACCCGACTCCGGTAGCGTTCCGCTAATCACTACAGTATTAACTATAATATATGTAACTTGAAGTATAGATTGCAAAGATTACTGGAAAAGTATAATTTCATGAAGTGCATCCGTGGAGGCGTTTTTAGCGCTATTTAGCGCCAAATATTGTTCGCAGAGCTAGAAAATAGTACTAACAAACATGATTACGACCTCACTAATGGTAGTGTTTTATGTCATAACTTCGCACTATAAACGCTATTCCTCTCCAGGTAGTGTAATGGTAGCGTTAGTGCTTACTAGCTTCGTGAACACCCAGAACTGCACAATATTGTATGCCATAGTTCCTGCAAATGAAATCGTACGAGTATGTCGTATTCATGATTTTATTATTATTCCCGTATATAATAGATAGTTGCGCGGGAATAAAATTTCGATATAAGTTGAAACTGAAGACAAGTTTAAACAGCGATATTTTACCCATTCTGAAAAAAAGTTTTAACTCGATTAATTTAACTCGAAGAAGAATAAAAAAAGATGCAAAACGACGGTACAACACAATAATTGGTCTGTTCCTTTTAGCTGCACTACTGAACTGATGTAATAAGTAGTTATTAAATAAGACAAAATATCTCATTCTAACTTATTGAACTAGTTCTGCAGAGCAGTTAAAAAGAACAAACCAAATGCTAACGCTAATGCCTTGGTGAAGCTTGTTGTCACTTTCGCGCTATTGGCTCCAAAAAGAGAATTATGTCTCTCGTAGCCAGCGCGATGCGCGACATGATGGCTGCGTTCTTTTATTTACAACAGATGCAGCCCGTTATATCCAATGCATAATTTAGCCGATCTTTATATCTAGTTGCGTACAACAATTGCGGGCCGCGTTAATCTTGACCGCTCTTTAATTTAAGTTGTAAGCGGAACTGCTCAATTTGTTTACATATTTTAACATCCCAATCTAAATGACTGCTGACGGATTGAAACATGATAGAATGCAAAAGGCCTAATCCTGCTGATGGCTTCTGCTCACAGGACACGGCAACACTTGCCGTGCGGCGGAAGTTCGCGCAGTAGCCAATCAACTTCTTGTTCTTACCGAAGAACGGCATGTTGATTGGTTACCGCGCGAATTTCCGTCGCGCGGCAAGCGTTGCCGCGTCCTGTGGGCAGAAGGCATTGATTCAGAGAATGAACCAGAGTTATTTATTTCCATCCTGGTGATAAGTTTTTATTGAATCATTTCTTTATGCCTTATATATTATGTTTTACGCCAAAATCTGTGCTCTTTGCTTTACTTAATCGAATGGTAGGATATTTTTCGCCTTCTTCGATCACAGAGATCAAAAACTACTAGATTTCCTACGTACTACGGTCCAAATAATTTTCCTACATTCGCTTGTCAAAAATTACCAGACTTAGTAGGATTTCTACTGAATTGGCAATTCTGGTCGGCGCCATTTAGATTGGGGTGTTAAAAAATGTAAACAAATTGAACAGTTCTGTTTGCAACTTGAATTAAAGAACGGTTAAGATGAACACAACCCATAGTTGTCGTGCACAACTAGATGTAAAGAACGGCTAATTTATGTATTCGATGGGGTTGGGACCCGATTTACCACGTCTCTATTGACTACAGGCTACATCGATTGGACGACACTAGAAAATCATCAAATTATGGCTGGTGATTGGTGGTTACTGCGTGGACAATCGGAGTCCTTCCCATCAGATGCAACGGGCTGCATTTGTTGCGAATAAAAATAGGCACTCTACGGTGCAGACAGTGTTCGTCTGTCTTTATCACTGTTCAATTTGTTGTAAAATACAAGCGTGATATTTGTCTTTCCACCATAGTCTAAACTAATGATTTGACCTGATGCTATATTGAAAACTAACCACGTAAATTTTGCAAGCCTTTTGTGTTCATTTGTTCGTATAATACGAGGACTCTATCGCGATAATAAAAATATTTATTTTTCATATTAAGCATTAATTATCAATTACCCAGTTCCTTCAATAATTCTGTTTACATTTTGTGGCCACGATTGCGCATTTACGATTATTGAACATTTCTCCCACTCTTTCCTATACAGCTAATCTTTAATGTTGGGTTCATTCCCGCTTATAGGAAAACTGCCGCGTTAGTTATATAGTAATATTACGCATATGGAAGAAACTAATTGTACATACACGACATTTCTTGACTCTACGCGACAAGAAGACAAGAAATGAGAAATAAAAGAAATAAGGAAAGAAAAAGGAAACAAAACGCAAAGAGCACATTGTAGACCAAGCTTTAGATCCATAGTGGACTAAATATCATCCTCTCTTTTGGTGCTTTCCATTTGGTGACATAAGTCAACACAAACATCATTTAATCTTTGTTCCACATTCAATTTAAAGATAGAATGATGTTGTGTTAACTTATGTCACTTTTGTGTCACTGAGCTTGTATCACTAGATGGAAAGCGCCATTTGTTACTCATTGAATATGAGCCAAAGACAATATGATGCTTGTGTCGAATTGTGTCATTAAATGGGAAGAGTTATTAAAGATTATTAATTAAAGATTAATTAAAGACCCATTAAACATAACTAAGCAACTAAAAATAGCAATCAATCAATCAAAGACGCGAGAAAAAATTAAAAGTTAAGTAGGAACAAAGTAGAACAGATAAGAACGAAAGAAGGATTATAAAAGGGCTATGTATGTATGCGTACATTTGCGTGATCTAGATAAAGTATGCGCACGCATGAATGGTGAGTGGGGGGTTACATAGATATATATATATATATATATTGGACGCAGCACGTCCTTCTAGTTTCTATCGCGCGGGCGAACGGCGCGGAGGTTGCGGTAATTTGTATGTGCGCTCGATGCGGTACAACGCGCGTTATATACCTCAATATACTTCCCAATGCGGCGAACGAGACCGAGTAACGTGGTGTTCCCATTGTAATAACGTACTGCAAATTTCAGCGACGTGTCAAGTGTAGGATAGTGCCTTTTATCATTAAACGCTTTTTGTTGGTAAAATGGTGAGTTTATTCATCATGTCAAGTTTTTTGTCTTTTCATATTGCCACTTAAAGCAATTCTACTGACTACTTTGCTGACGCCTATGTTGTGTAACTCGAGCATTTAGATAAATGTGGCGTATCGATAACGCGATCTACACCTCAGTTTCAGAGAGAAGGAATAAGACTAAGACAGCATACGACGAGGAAAGCGTCAACTGAGTTACCTTACGAAAATAAGGTTGCTTCAAGGAAGCAAGATATACTGCCAAATGAAACTCAACATCTCCTTTTTGTCCTCACTTTCTTTCTTTTTGTATCTTTTATCATAATTGTAATTGAGAAGAATCTACCTGATCCGGTAACTATCAATACTGAGGGATTGCATCCAGGAAGATTTGTAGCTGAACGAGCTCGTAATCATATTGTGAATCTTACATCACTTGGACCTCGTATTGCTGGCAGTTATGAGAATGAAGTATTAGCTGTTAAATTTCTAATTACAACGATCAATAATATAATTAAAGGAGCCCATGAAAATCATAAAATTCTCTTGGATATCACAAAACACAGCGGTGCATTTCCTCTTAAATTTCTGGATGGAATGACTAATGTATATAGAAATGTACAGAATGTTATTGTCAAGATTGGACCTCATAGACCTACAATGCATAGCTTACTGCTTAATTGCCATTTTGACACATTTTTTGAAAGCCCAGGTAAATAAAAATTACTGTGTAATATATATGAAAATTACTGTGTAATATATATATATATATATATATAAATTTCTAAGAGAGTTTAAAAGTATGTAGACCAGACATATTGTCATATATATATATATATATTATATATATTATATATATATATATATATAATTATATATATTATATTATATATATATAATTATATATATATAATATATAATTATATATATATATATATATATATGACAAGATGTCTGGTCTACATACTTTTAAACTCTCTTAGAAATTTTTTTAACTTATAAATGAAAAAAGAAACAAGCTCATATGAGTCAATGCAAAGTATATTATTAGCAAACACCTATTCAATTAATATAATTAAATCAAAAGTTGAGCCTTCAATAGAATATTTAGGAGTCAATCAAGTTTGTATCAAGTTGACTCCTGGAGGAGTCTGTTGAATATTGGACATTGGAATAATGATGGATATGGATCTGTTTAATATTTAGCTTTTGATTTAATTATATTAATTGAGGTATTTGAAAATAATATTTTGCATTAACTTTTATTTGCTTCTTCTGAGAGCTTTAAAAATTTAACGAATGTTTTCATAATATTTAACATATGTTTTCATAATTTTCAATTATATAAAACTTTAGGTGGTTCGGATGATGGGGCTGGTTGTGCCGTAATGCTCGAGGTTTTACGAGTAATTATCCAAAGCCCAACAATATTAAAACATAGCATTGTATTTTTATTCAACGGAGCAGAAGAAAATGTATTAGAGGTATCTAATATACTTATACTTTGTATTATATTCTTATTATCAAATTATTTCATTTACTATTATATTATTTCCAGGCATCTCATGGTTTTATAACACAGCATCTCTGGGCAAAGGAAATACGAACATTCATAAACTTAGAGGCATGTGGTGCAGGTGGTCGGGAATTATTATTTCAGGCTGGACCTTATAATCCTTGGATTCTTGAGGTACATTATTTTATTCTAGTATGTCTTCTCTACTATTATTTATCGGTATTACTATCTACTAATCACTGTGGCACATTCATTAGGTTTATGCTAAATCCGTACCATATCCTTATGCATCGTCATTAGCTCAAGAAATATTCGAGAGTGGTATTGTACCTGGAGACACGGACTTTCGAATATTCAGAGATTTTGGAAAAATTTCCGGTATGTATATGTATGTCAATTACGACACAGATGTTTTAATACTTTACTGTGATAAAAGAAATGTATCAAAGTTAATTGTTCTTAAACAGGCCTTGACTTTGCATGGTCAACCAATGGTTATGTGTACCATACTAAGTTCGATACTGTTGATCAGATACCACTTGGTACTCTGCAAAGAACTGGTGATAATATTCTTGCTTTAACAAAAGGAATAATATTCGAAAATTATTTATCGGACACTAGTATTCACAGAATGCCTGGAAGTCTTGTGTTCTTCGACTTTTTGGGTGCATTTGTTGTTCGATGGCCACAATATATCGCCAGTACAATCAATGTCGCTAGTATGATTATAGCTGGGTACTCTATCCATTTGAATATGCAGAGTGCACGTAGAAGTAAGAATATATATATACATATATATAATCATTATATTTAGATCCGGCCGACAGTAGACTTCGATCGGTATACGTTTTCTTGAACAAATCCAAGTAATACATTCGAATTCTGCGTTATCGGATATAGATATTAATAGATTGGTATATGCAAAACACGTGGCAATATGCGTGGGAGCGATCGTCGCCTCGTGGATAGTATCTACATCCTCTTGTACAGTAATCGCCTTGACATTGACCAAATTAGGAAAAGTAATGAGTTGGTATGCAAGACCGGCGTGGCTGTTCTTTTTATATATTTGTCCGACCACTTTCATGTCAATGATTGTGTTCCTATATATAGGATCGAAACAAAAAAAGGCAAGTGAATTTGAGATACGTTTCTCTTCTATAACAATTTCAATTTATTTGTTAAATAATACAGTTTGTAGCTTATCCATTAATAACCACGATGCGTACGAACCAATGTCAGATTAATTCACTAATTGGTGATTGTAGGAAATTAACTCTGCATGGATTTTGTTTCAAATGTATTGTGATGCGTACGCTATAATATGGATGTGGACTTTATTCGTATGTATTTTATTTGAGATACGATCAGGCTTCATACCGCTGCATTGGGTTCTATTTCCGGCAGTCGGGAATATTATACGACACAATTTCTTCGGCAAATGTAGAGGTAAGGATATTCACAACAGTTTTTGCGAGTTTTGTCATATTCTAATGTATTAGTATTGATAGTGTTCTATTATAATCATTTTGAAATATTCATAATGTCCCGATGACTCTTGTAGATTGGAGATGGCTTTGCTACCATTTGGGAATACTGAGTTTGTCTTATATACAGTCGTTTTATTTGGCGATTGGAGCTCTCTATCTCTTTATTCCCATAATGGGTCGAAGTGGTGGCAGTATTAATTCCGAAATTGTAATGGGTATTATGTTGTCGGTATTATTCTCCCTATTACTCAGCTTTACGGTAAATCGATAATATTTTCATGTTATTCGCACGACAAATGTTTGCAATAACGGTTTGCATTGTAAACACTACAAACATTGTTTATACAGATGTTTTTGATACTTGTAAATTTCTCTTAATCTCGCACAATAATATTGCTATAACTTGCATTTTAATATTTGCAGTTACCAATAGTGCTGCTAATAAAGAATGCGGAGCGAATTATAAGTGTGATAATCGGGATATTCTTAGTCGCTATTGCTGTGTTAATTCTAACACCACTCGGATTTCCTTACAGTGGTGATCCATCATCGCCTGCTGCACAACGATTCATGATCGCGGTAACGTAATCATATTCTTTTAGAATCTTTAATTTTTGCATAAGATAATATCTCGCGTATGTTATATTACACAGAAATTTAATTGTTTTTAAAATTATTAATTATTATATTAATATGTATTAACATTATATTATTTTATATTTATATTAACGCTTCTGACTCGTACTCGCTTTGACCGTCCTTGTTTAATGACGTCAGAAGCGAGAAGAACATGCCAAGATATTTTGTATTATACTTTCAAATAAAAAGATATATTCGTAAAATGACATTTATGGTCGATTTAACATATTCGTAAAATTGGACGAACACTTGAACAATCAAAAAATAGTTGCAAAATTAAACTCATATATTTCCTTTCTAATCTTTTTTCTCATGATTTTATTAATATTAATTTTACGGTTACTGATTGTTCGAATAAAAAAAAAAAGTGTTCGTCAAATTTTGTAAATGTGCTGAATTGACCGCAAACGTCTTTTTGTGCATATATCTTTTTATTTCAAAATATATCGTAAAAAATCTTGGCATGCATTTTCTCGCTTCTGACATGATTAAACAAGGACAGTCACAGCGAGTAGTTAGGAGCCTTAAGTCCGCGTCACTCGATGCTTGTTTTCATGTTAACTCGCATGCGAACCACCATACTAGATAGTAGAGAGAAATCTGAGAGCAGCCATGCCGGAGTTTTTCAGAGAACATAATTTTCGATGCGCTCCCTGAAAAGGTAACGGTAAAAGTTGCTTGGTTCATGTTTATTTCCACATGATAGTAGGTCCGATAAAGAGTCAATCGCTCTATCTTTATTTCACCATCGATGAGCAAAAATCATACGGCAGTAGGCACGAGGCGAGCTAGCGATAATCTTGTCGCTACGCAAACATCTCTCTATCTCGCCTCTCAAAATGCTGTCCCGTGAACAACGAAAAAGTAAAACGAAAAAGGTGTAATAGGAAGTGATAAATTAGAATTATATTCATACTAATCCTTCACGATCTCAAATGGCCCATATTCCCCATGCACAAGAAAAACAGAAACCGGCAAAACAGAAAAATCCGATTTTCTTGATCATAGTCAATAAAATTAATCTATATCATAAGAAAAATATATAACTATAATAAATTCTAAAAGATTTGGAAGAGTAGATATACACAATTTCATTCGGATACATCCAATCGCAGCGGATCAGTGATTGGATGTGTTCGAAACTGAAACTGTATGCATTCAGAATTCACTCATCTGTTACTCATCTTTTTTCGTAAAGTATATTCCATAGGGAACGAGGCCATTCGAGATCGGAATACATTACTATGAATGTTTCCGATTGGTACACTAAGCGACATAATACCTTAACATTTACTAGGCCTAATGATAATGAGATTTTTCGATCGCGCAATGAATCGACATATTCGTGTATCATGACTGTTGCTTTAGGATCCTTGTCAGTTCACAGAATAATCAACAATCATGATGCACGAATGTATGGATTCATTGTACGTGATTGAAAAATTCCATTATCACTAGGCCTAAAATATTAAGATTATTATACCGCTTAATGTACTCTCTTACTATATCTTTTCCGTTCTGCTTTTTTTTGTTATCCGTGGAACTGCACCTTCGCCAGTCATTCGCGTCTTCTCATCTTCCATACATTATATTATCCGTAATTCGTGAAAAAAAAAGGATTTCGATACTTTAGACGACTTCTAGTAATGAAGTAATAAGACTAACGGCATTTATTTCTTAAAGATTTTATACTCGGTTATACCAGATGTCTGATGCAAGGCATATCAACCATACAAAAAGTATACAACAGATCAAGCTGAGAAATAGGTTTATTATCATTTCGTAAACTACGTAAACTTTCAAATTATTAACAAAAATAAATGGGCGAGTTAGCGCGCATAATGCGATGATAAGCTTGATCTGTTGTATATGTTTTATTATGGTTTATGTTGAACGCTTTATGTCGAACACTTTATATATGAATACATATGCGTATGCATATGTTAGATGGTTGCATATAAAATCGCCCGCAGGCAATAGATAGCGTTAGATACACTATTTCTTCGAATTAAAAGTATTCTTTCAAATTGAAAGTTGGCAATACACACGATGACAGGTTTATAGAGCCAAAACGCCATAGGTGACATTTGTGCGACGCGTTAACATCATATATTTTGATTGTGTTTACAATGGCAAGTTTTGTTCCAAATAAGTCACATTTGCGGAAAGTTATGCTCTATTATTTCCTGACGAAGAAATCACTCGCGGAAGCGCATCGTTTGCTAGAGAAAGTATGTGCCGAACATGCTTCATTGAGTACAACGTGCAAAGAGTGGTTTCGCCACTTCCAAAGTGGTGATTTCTTTATGGACAAGGACCGTGGAAAACCACTTAAAACATTTGAGGACACAGAATTGGACGCATTATTGGACGAAGACTCGAATTAAACGCTAGTGGAGTTGGCCAAAGTATTAAATGTGGACAAATCAACAGTTTCCAGACGACTACAGACGTTGGGACAGGTGCACAAGCAAAAAAATTGGGTACCCCACATCTTGAAGGAACGGAACATTGAACGCCGGAAAGCCATTTGTGAACTGCTGCTTGAACGACAACAACGAAAAGGTTTTCTCCATCGAATCGTCACTGGAGATGAGAAATGGATATATTACGTCCCGGGGAACCAGATCCGTCGACGCCAAAGAGAAACATCCACGCCAGCAAATCATGCTCTGTATCTGGTGGGATCAGAGGGGTGTCGTGTATTACGAGCTGTTGAAACTGTCGGAAATCATCACTGAGAATTGTTGTCGACTATAACTGATCCATTTGAAGCGAACTCTGCACGAGAAGAGGTCAGAATAGGAGAATCGTCATGACAAGTTGATTTTGCAGCACAACAACCCCAGGCCGCATGTTGCTCAACCAGTCAAGAAGTACTTAGAAGGAATGAACTAGGAAATCCTACCCCACCCGCCATATTCCCTAGACATCGCTCCCTCCGATTACTATTTGTTCCGGTCGATGCAGTCAGCGCTTACGGCACAGTATTTCACCTCGTACGAAGGAGTAAAAAAATGGCTGGATGGCTGGATTGCCTCCAAACATGTCTAATCGGAGCATCATGTCTAATAGGACACCAGGCCCAAAAGGAAGATTCATCACTGAACATTATGTTGCTCCAGTCACGATCGATATTTTGATGAGTCCCCACGCCAGACAATTTTCGACATGCTTTTTTGAAAATAACGGCTTGGATATTGTACTACGCCATTTGACATTATGCTTTTCCGAACGACGTTTTAGTGTCATTATACTAATGTTTGCACCCTTTTTTGCCAAAACCGCTTGTCCTCTTTGTAAAGAAAGATTCGAATTTTTCTGAAAAAGTCGAAGAATCACTTTATCTTCCCTGGTTGGTAGTTTTTCGCTTTGAGCCGCGATCTAGAAAGTCATCGACACTTTTTGTTTCTTTATATTGTTTTATCCACTTCCTACAAACTGTGACGACTTATGCAGGTATTTAGCAGCACTTGCAAAATTCATTTTTGGCCCTTTTGGATGACTACACAAGAAAACCGCCTCAAATCGTTTTGTATACGCAGCACTAATCTCTGAAGCTCTGTTCTCTTTAAAGACGCAAACATATCTGAATGAAACTGAGCTAACGCGTATTCAAGAGGACTGTATACATTTAGATTATCGTGGTCTCGCTTTCATTGGGTATCAAGTTTCAAAGATATCGCCGACATGCTCTTGTGACACTGTGTAGATTGTACGTGCCGAGGCAACAAAGACGGACACTTTTCCTTTTCCGAACGCGTTCTTACCGATAAGTGCTGCCTCGTGCGATTGTTCTTTTTCCTCGATCTTTTCCTTTCGAGGTGCATTGCCTTCAAATCATGGTCGATTATGGCGACGATAAATTCTGAAAAAGCTGCTCAAGTTGTTGCTTTAATTGAAGATGGCAGAAGTCGAAGGTACGTTGCTGAGACACTTGATCTGTTAATGTCAAACATGCTTATACCAGGTACTTAGACACCAATTCTTTCCGGAGAAGGCCTGTTTTCGGCCCTGGTTCGGGTCGCCCTCGATGTACCAATGACAACGATGACCGATTTATTGTTTTAAATTCGTTAAGAGAAAGACATCAAACGGCTTTTCAAATTCGCTTTTCAAATTCGAAACAATTTAAGGGATGTCCGTAACAGGAATGTATCCGTTAACACCGTTCGGAGAAGATTAGCGAAACAAAATTTGTTTTTATGCAGGCCAACGACTGTACCTTTGCTTACACGTCGCCATCGCATAGCTCGACTCAATTTTGCAGTTGAACATAGAGACTGGACTTACGCAGACTGGAGCAAAGTGCTCTTTAATGGTGAATCTCATTTTTGTCTCGATTCTCTCGATGGACGAGAACGAGTTAGTTTATCGTCGTGGTGGAGAACGATTTGCAGATTGTACTGTAGTGAGTGAAAGGCATAGCTATAATGGAGGAACTCTGTAATGATTTGGGCAGGAATTTCAGCGAATGCTCATACAGATCTGCATTTTTTTGACAAGAACACAAACACAGATGTATACGTGAAAAGCGTATTCATTCCGTATGTTTATATCCGAGAACTTGTTTATGCAAGACAATGCTCGACCACACATCGCGAGAAGAGTGCTTGATTTCTTCGATGAAGTTGGCGTAAATTGTCTCGATTGGCCAATAAATAGTTCAGATTTAAATCCAATTGAACATTTATGGGACAACCTTAGCAAGAAAGTACGAAATTACGTACCTATTCCTCAGTCACTGCAAGAACTTTGAAGAGTTCTTGAAAACGAATGGAATACAATCACACAGGATCAAATTGAAAGACTAATAAGGAGTATGCCTGATCGCATAAATGAGGTAATACGCGCACGAGGAGGTCATGCCCACTATTAATACACACGCATGAGTGCATATGCGCGCGCGCGTACGCGCGCACACACACACACACACACAATAAAATGCAATTCCGACCAGTCAAACTCTATGCAGTTCATATTGGGAAGAATTACAACCATAATTTGAGTCAATGATAGCAGTCTTAACACGCAATTCATCTTTATTTCGTAACATTGATTACGAAAAATGAAGAACTTGAATTGAATTTTGCCTTCACTTTTGCTTTCCTGGCCTTTAAAATGATTAATGCAAATTATTGAATAGAGAATCGTGCAGGTTGTGCAAATTATTCGTATAGAGATTAATGAAATTGAAATTATGAAAAAACCAAACCAAGCGCAAGGCCTCCTTAGGCCTTGTTGAATCGACGTTGTTACAAATTCGATATTGAATATCTCGGCAACTGAATATCCTAGCACAAAATTTCAAAAAAAAAGTTTGAAAGCTTTGAAACCCTACTTTTCGAAATTTAAATCGCAATTGTGCACGACGATTTTTTTCAAAGTGGCGGATGACAAAGGAAGAGCATGCAAAATTGATAAATAAAAGTTCGAGCTTGTGACGGCGCATGGCGTAAAGTAGATGTCGCAGTCTAATGGGACAAAAAGCATCTAAAAGTATAGAGTGTTTTCTTTAGGGTGCTTCTTTATGGGGCTGGATGCGATAATTATTCGCTGAGTTATGCAAATTGAAAAAGAAAACTGTTTTTTTAATTAAATTTGGAATAACTCAGCGGAAAATGATCGCATCGAGCTCGGTAAAGAAACATTTTAAAGATAACACTCTATTTTTTCATGTGCTTTTTATTGCATTGTACTGCGACATCTCATTCATGCCATGCAGCGTCACTAGCTCGGACCTTTGATCATCAATTTTCCATTCTCTCACTTTACTATCCGCTATTTTGAAAAAAAAGTGGCTGAGCATAATGGCCATTCAAATATCCTTAAGATGGACATTTGAAGCTTTATTTTACATTTTTATATTTATTTTTATCTTTATTACTTACCTAGTTATAATCATTTGAAATTTGGTCAATTTTTCCCAAATTTTTAATGTACCGTTTTTTTGGGGGACTAAGTGTATGTACGTATATACAATACATTAACACACAATACGTTACAAATAAAAAATGTAATATTATTTTATTTACAAAAAAATATTATATTGAGGAAAGAAAAATTTTAATAATAGATTGGCAGAGGCTACCTACATATTTCTTACTCGGGGACGCTTCTGAGACACTCCTCACGCGGCTCGATCTCTAAGGCTTAAGCAGTAGTGGGGAAATCGTGAGCGTCGCGTCTGAAATCGGCTCGAAATGTGCAACTATTTTTATTAATTCTAAGCCCTAGTTTAAAGCTTACTGTACTTATTGTAGATCCGGGCTAATGATATCTTAAAGGCCATCTACAATAGCCATAAAGTATGCAATAAGACATAACCAGTGAGCTAATTGACCAATTGGGTTCATACATTCCAAAAATAAATCGACAGTGATTGGTCAATTAGCTTACTGCTTATATCTTACTGTATATGTTACGTAGCATAAGTTGAGTCGTGCACGACCTAGGGTTAAGTAAGGGAGCGAATCCGAGCAATACGCATACATATATATATATATTGAACATATACCGCAAGAATTCTTAACATGCGTTGTTGTCACAAACACAAATTTTTATATACCGAATATTATTGACAGATGTCAAAACTAAAAATGATGCCTTGTTCAACCATCACAATTGATGATTGTCAAAGCTACAGCTATTTATCGCTAGAGGGCAGGTTTCAAATTATAGACCTAATATATTTATCGAAGGCACTACGTGGAGGCAGTTTATTCCATAATTCTTTTTTATTTTTTATATTTTTCATATATTTGTTATGCCTACTCGGTGGCAACTCGTGGCGCGGCAGCTCCGAATAACGGTATGGCAGCAAGCCGATGCTGTCTGAAGTCTAAACAACAAGAAAAATTAATATCCGATAAAAAATGTAGTCTGAAGACTTACTTGGACGCACAATTCCAGAATTTCTCCGGCGGCGTACGGTGAAAATTGGCGAGTGCGTCCGTGCAAAAATCTATTGCCGCTCAATGTGAGCAGGTGCAATGTTATTTTCATTATAATCATTTTATCTTTAATCATCTCAAAGCACAAAGTTTAAGCTTTAATTGAATCCCTATTAAAAGTTTCTATTACATCATGTTCATTCGCAATATGTTTTAATAATGGCCAAAAACGCGTTTTTTGGCACTTTTGACTTCAATTTTCTAAAAAACCTGACGTGATGCAAAAATTTCGTTACTGGATTTGTATTCAGCGACCAAAAATCGATGGAAAATTATATGTCTTATCCATATAGCATGTTTAATGTCGATCTATATAATTATTATTTAAAATTATTAAAATTATGTTTAACTTACAGCACAGCCAACGTCAGTATTACAATGCAGATGGTAACCTTAGGTACTCCGATACAGGATATTGGATAGTAGATTTAGATATGAACAGTCCACACAGCGTAGAATCAACAGTACCTGAAGTGGCTACTGCGATACCAACAGCTAAAGATTGTGAGAAAGAATTATATTGTGGTTTTCCATATTTAATGCCGGTTACAACTTTCTTATGGTATATATACAATGAAACAAGTAGCACGTTATCTAAAAACAAACATACGAGTTGAGAAAGTATCATTTTACTAGGAGAACAAGTTGGATATCTGGACCCGCCCCGCTCATAAGTGTTCCTACAAATCTCGAGCTCATTTCGAAGACACGATACGCCAATGTCGTCTTAAATCAACAGCCCCTGGTTAATTTCACATTCAACGTTACAGGTAACCAGTTCGCTAACAAACATTTATTAAGAGACACAATTATGTCTCAAGCCAAACGCACGCGCGAAGTAACGGGCTCGCGGCCGACTGTGTGCATTCACGCAATGACACTAGTTGAATGCAGGCAAGATTTCTCATTTTCGATTTTGACTATAACAGCTAAATATCGAAGTCAATCGAACAATGTCGAAATTTAAATATTTAAAGCCATTTTGTAACAAAACAACAACTCATCTACACTTAACATTCTAGAGTTTTAATACACTCGCCGAATTCTATATTTTAAACTTACTCTCATCCAAAAAGCGCATTTCCGCTTATGGTCCTCTATTTGTAAGTTTTTTTTTATATTTTCTTGTGTGTAGAACAACTATTACATGAGAATTTTTTTAATTATTCACGAATATAGTTATTTTGAATAATGTTTCAATATATAAGTAACAATATATATATATATATATATATTATTATTATTATTATATATATATATATAGAGAGAGAGAGAGAGAGAGAGAGAGAAAGAGAGAGAGAGAGAAATTTATATAGATATTAATCTCTAAATTTTTAGGTCCCGATCACATAGGTATAATTTTGTCTCCATACAAAGGTGTTCATCTAGAGAAATGGACTGTATCCGAAGGGAAACCACTTCAAGGTCCTATGTGGAACGACAGAGAGACTTACTTCATCTATTATGCGTGTGCCTCAGATTGTGTGCCATATATATTTTCTATCGAATTAAGTGTAAGTTTAAACAATGTGAATATCTCTATTTTCCCTCTTCAGCATATAGTAGTATATCTTGTGATTTTATCACGTATGATTCGATGACGTTTCGTATGATTTATTAAATTATACATCCAGGTGCCCGCAATGCAGAAAGGGCCGTGTTTATCCATCGCATTAGCTGGCCACTTTTTACACGGTGAACACCAAAGATCTCTAAGATTCAAAACCTTTTTAGCACAGTTCCCTTCATGGGCTGTCATTAATCCTTGGACTGCAACATATACATCATGGGAATTTTAACAAGGATCTTATCGAAGATTTCAGCAAGATGGTATGGTAGACATGAAGCAATATTATCACATGGCAGAACAGCCCGTGTTAATTAACAAACCTAACTAAATGGTACTATGTTCGAAATGGATAACGTAATTTGGTCGCTTAAATATTTAGACTTGGCGTTTAACATTTCTTAGATTGTCGACTTACTGAGTATCGGCGAACATGTTAACGAAATGTTAAAGCCGTAATGAAGAGATGTTCTCTCATTCTGAGTTTATATAAATTTTTACTAGTGTTAACAAAACATTTTTAGTGTTAACAGAATGATGTCAAATTAGCATAAGATGTTAATTTTTATCGAAAACGTAAATAATGCAAACGGGAATATTTCCCCGAATGCTTTTAACAGTGATAATTATCATTACTTTTTCTAAGGACATACGGTAATATTGCATATCATAAGCACATTGTAACAAAATTCTATTTATCAATAGTAGAAATTATCAATCGTCTAAGATGGGCTTGAGAGCACATTATTCTATGCGTTATTTGTCAATTTCTCATAGAAAAAAATAGCGCCACGAAAAATAATCTTTCATCTAAATCTAGAAATTACATACATAACATAGCAACTGTGATTGCATAATGTGCATGCATACATGCATTGATGCGTGAAACACTCTCTTAGTAAACTTCACAAATTTATAGATTTTATATTATATATCAGTACTAAATAATTACTAAATTACCTTCCTAAGTAACAATTAACCATTGCATGAATAGCATGTAATAAATTGAGCATGAATTACACGAGAGCTATTTAAAGTAGACCGTCTTATTTCGGAATATCTTAGAGCAATGTTCAGAATTATTTATTTAAATGAAGCGATTTTCAAAAGTTATGTCTTCTTATTTCCTCTTGCCGCTTTAGCTCGCCTAGCGGGCTATGCAATTGACAGTTGCAGTGATCAGCTTCAGTCAACCGTTGACATTGTGCGAAGTCTGTTCCTAATATCTGAAAAGTTCTTATCGAAACAATTCCTTTATATATAATATAATTAATATATTATAATTTTAATAATATATAAATGTATATTGTTAACGTATAAAAATATATATGAAGGAGTTGTTTTGATGAGTTAATTTGTATGAAGTTTCAGATATTAGGAACAGACTTCGCACAATGTCAACGGTTGACTAAGGCTGAACGCCACAACTGTGAGTTGCACCGTCGAGCCTCCAGCAAGAGCAACAAACTGGAGAGACAAAGGAAAATAAAGGAAACATAAAATCGTATCATTTATATAAATAATTCCGAGCATTCTTAGAGCTTGCGTAAATTCGATAGTTCAATATTTAATCAGCTATATTTGTTATTTGATACGAAATGTGATTCAATGCTGTCGTTTACGAACAAAGTACCTAACAATAACAGGCAGTATAAATGACAGCACGAGAATAATATTTTACATTCCCTTTGTCCTAGTTTTAAAAGAAATGATAAAAATCCTTCATAAATAGAGCATATCAAAAAAATAAAACGTGATGTAATATTTTCAAAAATATTTTATTTTTAATATTTTATATTATATAATTTAACTTTCAGTATTTCAACGTTTTGCATTTAGATATCAATTACCGTATTTTTGGACATAATTGGACATGAGCAGTGAATTTGCTCTCAAACGCAAGTTTTTGATTTCCGTTTCTTTCTGCAACTTGGTACTCCGTGTGAAAATATTTTATATCTTCGCTCATATTAGAAACGTTTTCAACAATTATGTGTATTTGTTGATACACGCGAAACATTTATTTCACAGTAATGTACTTCTCGCAATATGTTCTGCACAAATAATTGCTATTTTGTTTTATTAAATTTTGCTTCACATCACTTAATGTGCAACGTTAATTTTTGTAATTTGAATTTCAATGTGTATTGCTTAATAACTATATTCTCTATGTTCTCTATAAATTTGCAATTAATATCAGTTTCTCCCATGAACACCATTTTAAGTGAGATTTTGTTAGCTGAAGATAACATTTACTAGCAATATTATTGCTACTTAATAGTTAAAGCAATATAAGATATAAAATTTATATTTTTTATGCAAATCAAATTATTTCCATCGATATACTTGCATAGTTCTCATTGCTTAAACGCTTATGCCTATGCCACAAGTAACTCCATATAACTTAGAGTATTATTCATTTTCCGACGCTTCACGAAACACACATATATTGACATAATTATTACTATGAAACTTCTTTAAAGTCTTTGACGAATAAACAATTATCATTAATATTGACTAATAAACGAATATTATAGTGATAAATAGTACAACGTATTTCATATTATAAAACAATAGTAGTTTTATATGAAGCAAGATTATATAATGGTAGTAAAATATATGACGGAATTTTATCGATGATTCTAAGGAAAATTTCACATCTGAAGCATGTTAAAGAGAAAACTTATAAGAACGTGTACGCTCGCGCGTGTGTGTGTATGCGTGTGTATGTTGTGTGTGCGTATGGTATATTTGTATGTTTTTTTAAATTGTTTCTCTTATTGTTTGTTATTATGTGCGTTTACAGGGTGTCTGATGCAAGATATGCCAATCATCACATATTTGTATTTTAAATCAATATGAACAAAAAAGTTCTGTATCATTTTACAAGTAAAAATTCGAATTATTAATGATTGAAAATGGCTATGTATAAATACTTCTATAATTAAAAACTCAAAAATTTACGTGTTATTTGCAAAACGATAAAGGACTTTTTATTCAGAGTGGTTTAAATTTACGAGTATATGACAGCTGTTCTATCTAGCGATAAATTTGAGATTCGAAGTTTAAGGTTCAATATACTGATGCCCTAAGTATAACAGCTGTCAAATGCTTGTAGATTATGTTATTCTGAATAAAAAAGTTCTTTGCCACTTTACACATTTTTTAGTTATTAATTAAAAAGCCTTTATATATGTCCATTTTTAACCAATAATAACTCGAAATTTGGCATGTTTGCAAAATGGTAGAGAACTTTTTTGTTCACATTGACCTAAAATAAAGTATGTGACAATTACCACACTTTGCGTCAGACACCTTGTATATGATTAATACTTTTATATTAGTGTTATACAAAATGTCCAGAAAGTTTTGACGGAGCGGCCATGTATAAATAAAATAGGTTTAAACTGAGTAAGAAAGTCATGTACTATTTTACAAAATTTGCAATGTTAATGAATAAATTAATTTTGTGTGAGTGAGCGCACGAGAAGCGATAGGCTAGACTCCGTAGGCATACAAAGAAAGATTAATTAATTGCTCATTAATTATTGCAAATTTTGAAACATAATATATAAGTGTCCTGTTCAGTTTAATCCATTCTACCTGCATACGGCCGCTCCGTCAAAACTTTCCAAACACTCTGTATAATTATCCATATCTGTTACACATATCTGTTATTTTATGTAACTGTTTATTAATTTTTTTGTAGTGTTTTTGCTGGATAATTTCAATTTAATTAACGCAACATCTCTATTACACAAATCCATATCCATAATTCTACTTGATTTTTTGTGCACAAAATTACGAATAATAATTATCTTATAATTTATAATTATAAAATCAATAATTATAAACAATTTGCATTTTATTCAGACAACTTTAATACAATCGAATGTTGAGATTTATTGTTTCCTTTGCGTGCTTTTTTATATCTACATAAAGCACTTTTATGTGTTCTGTGATTTCTCGATTAATTGTCACGGTAATCACCATCGATAAGTTAGCAATAGGCTGATTATTGTATAGTAAAAAGTTTATCATGCTGTTAACAGGGTTTTCGTTTTATTGTTAGGAATAAAACGAAGTTAAATATTAAATTAACGAATTTCTCCGTCGTTGTTTGTCGCTCGAATGAATTCCAAACGAACGAGCGCACTAGTTTTCGATGTGAACAAACTTTTGCATCATGCACAAATTGAAGATAAAATTGTATTTCGATAACTTCGTTTTACGCCAAATGTTTTCGCCGGCCAAAGGTAAAGAATCCATCCATTGCTAACAGTTGTATAATTGTGATCGCTGATCATTTCTATCGTCCTACTTCGCCCTACTACGGGGCAGGATAATACCTTTGCGATAAATTGCGATACCGTGGATCGCGCCATTTGATTCAAGGGATTAAGATTTGATAAGCGATGCGATGCATAGTAATATATGATGCCACTTGTTCGCGAATTTATACAGACATATGTTCCTGCTTGTGTTCGAGCTTTAAGTTGTTGATATATATATTGCAATATTGTTATTTGGCAGTTGTTGTTACATGATTAAGAGATAGTTCGAAGAAAAATAAAGAATTAACAATACTACAAGGAAAATCCATTTTTTTTATTATAATGTTTCATTACATTTTACTGTTACCATTCAATTTATCATGACAGCAGCATAATTCGAACTTTTGATAAATATTGTACACACAAGTATCATGCTCTGATAAATTAATATGTACATTATATGAACTTTAATATCTTTCGTCTTTTCATGCGTATTCATAGTATTATTCGTAGCTTTTTCTCGAATCTTACGTAAATTAAATTTCGTACCTGTATTAACGTTACGAGTCTAATCAATGCAAAATTGTTTTTGGTTTTTGTTACTCAATAAGTCTTTTGTTCACCAAATCAATTTTCTGTTTCCCGTAGTTGTCACAATGACAATGACGCTATCTAAATGTTACGATCGCTCTTATAATAAAAGAATTGTATAGTGGTGGACAGAAAGGTTGCAACACTTTTTTTTATAAGTTTCGAAACGCATCTCGTGTCCAATATGAAAATTTGTTTCTTATTTTTATGAGATACATTCTGCTCTTTGGATGAGATGCGTTGCAAAAAAAAAATCTTTCTGTTCACTGCCGTACAATCAATTGTAACAATAAAGGCGTCCAACGTGTTGCGACACGTTGCAAGTAATTACTATGTTTCAAGTTACTCAAGTAAAACTACACACATGGACGCGCATGTGTGCATAATTGATATATTAAGTGTACAAATTTATTCTCGGCCCTAATATTAACCACTTGCGCTGACAAGAAATTCACAGACGCGTGTGCCAGAACGGTCCAGCGTAACTCGCTGGGAGGCGTCACACAATGTTCGATGCCTTAGAGAAATCGGAGAAAGACTTATATCTTCTAAACTAATTTATTTTCGACCTAGGACTTCTAATAGTTCTTTGAAGGGAATATAACGCATCGATTGATGATGAAATTACATAAATACGAATAGTAAACTTGTTTATTAATAATCATGCAAAGTGTGGTATCTCTCAAAACAGTCTAAAACATGTAATGGAACGAGGCATTTCTTACATTCCCATGTAGTTTCACTGCGTTTTTTGTGTTTGGCACACACTCTACACCTTCGCTGTGGATTTTTTTTGGCATTTGTGGGTGGAATATTTCTCGGGAAATGTCCCCATTGCTTTACCTCTAAACGATTGGGTGTGCTACCAACAGACATCCTTCCACGTTTTTTATAATCGGGAATACATACAGCTTGTAAAATTTGCTCTGCCACATCTAATCGAAACTTCGAAAAGGAAAATTTCTTGCTTTTTGTTACATCCATTTTCTTACGGAATAAAACATAAGAATTAAAAAGCGCAATATCCGCTAAGTAAAAAAATGTTCTTTTGTAACTTTTTACATATTTTCTCATGAAGGAAAAAGAAGATAAGTAACTATCTTGTAAATTCACCCCACCCATGCCATCATTATACTCTAAAACAATATTGGGTTTTGTAACAGGGCTATTATTATTATTCCACCTCTTCTTTTCCACTTCCACCATCTCTATTTTCGAATGCTTTGTGGATATTACATATATGTCTTTTTTGTCTTTCCATTTGGCAATTAAGATGCCATTAGACGATCTTGAAATCACATCAGATCGTTTCAGTTTTGCCTCTGCAAGTTCTTTGGGCATATTCTTCCTATTATACCTCATTGTTCCTATGATATTAGTTTTTATAGATTGCAACTTTTCAAATAGTCTTGGCGAAGAATACCAATTGTCGAGAAACAGAGTGTGTCCGTAACCAGATATTAGTGTGCACATAAACATCGTGACATTTTCCGATGCACTTGTGTCTGCATTTTTATTTCTATCTTGACCCATGTATATCTTAAATTGAATGCAATATCCCGACTTTGATTCGCATAGTTTATAGAATTTCACTCCAAAGCGGGCTCTTTTCGATGGATTATATTGCTTATATGACATGCGGCCTGTATACTTCATTAGCGATTCATTTAATGATACATTTTTCTCGGGAGTGTAAATAGTCTTAAATTTTTCATTGAAATAATCGATTATACTTCGCAATTTCCATAAACGATCATTATTATTGTCTACAACTTCGTTGTTAATAAAGTGTAAAAAGCGGGATAGTTGGGCAAATCTCCAAAATGGCATGGTTTTTCGAAATATCGGAGTTT